CTGCAGGGTGCAGCCTCTGGGATGCTGCTGGCTGTCCTGGAGGGACTTAAACTGACAGCCTGGGGACCCTTTCCTGGAGGAGAGGCAGCACATGCTGTTGTTCACCTCACTCTGGCTGCAGCTCCGTGTTTGACACTCCTGGAAGCCCCCCTGGCAGGCCTGAAGGATGGAGGCTGCTCTGTGCTGATGCCTCAGGTGCTGCTGCTCCCAGGTTCACTCCCATGGGAAAGGAAAAGCAGGGTGGGAAATGAGCCTGCCTCCAAGAGGGTGCTGGCATCCCTGCAGGACAGGCTGGGGTGGCCAGCAGTGCCTCTCGAGGGCAGGTGAGTCCTTTGTCCCTGGGACTGCCTGCTCCAGGGGGTCCATTCTCTCCAAATCCTGCTGGAGCAGCATCTCCCACCCAGCACCAAATCCTGATGGAGCAGCATCTCCCACCCAGCACTGCACCCCTGCTCCTCTCACCCTCCCTTGTCTGAGCTGCACTGGCCTGGCAGAGCCTTCCTGCACCCCTGCTCCTCCGAAACATCAAGGGAAAACACAAACTAAGCCAGGAATGACACAGGCATCCCTCCTGCCCTGCTGCTCCCCACACTCCTGTTCCTTGAGGAAGCACAAAGCTCCGCCGTAGCATCCCCATTCCCATTAAAAACCTATTTCCATCACCACCCACAGCCCTGTGAGCTCTTCCTGACGCCCAAACTGGCTTCCTCAGTGCATCCACACATCCCTCCTGCCTGCTGTCTCCTGCTGAGTGATGAGACAGAGCTTTCCCCACTCCTGGATGAGTGTACACAACTCAGCTCACTGCTCCGGATCCTCTGGGGCTCTCATCCCAGTGATTTGTTGCTTCTTATTTTCACACACCTCCCACTCCTCCCCCGTGGCAGATTGTGCAGATTGTGCTCTGGCTCTCTGTGCCTGCTGCCCAGCCCTGCTGACACCAGGCTCCTGCATCCCTGGACTCTGCCTGGTGGGATCCAGCAGAGAGCAGAGCCAACAGGAGCCTCACAGAGCTCTGGGCTTCAGTTTAAGCCCTGCAACAGCCAGCCTGAAACCCAGCACGTCTGAAATCCTCACCTGTACCACAGCAGCCCAGCACATCCCACTGTGCCTCTGCCCAAACCCTTCCCCATCACTGCCAGCACCACCTGGCCAGGTGATGCTCCCAGCCTCTGGAGAGGAGCACCCGGTGCTGGCTGTGGCAGCCCCCAGAGCACAGAGGGAAGGTCACCTTCTCAGCAAAGCTCTTGCATTTCCATCTCTATTTATTTATTTCCTGTGCTCACTGCGCTCCCCGCGGCTCCGGGGCCATTTACATAATCGGATCAGAGGCAGCTGCACAGGAACTGCACGCGCCGGCCCCGAGCTGCCAGCCCTGCTTCCCAGGAGCACCTGCCCCTCCCTGCAGCACCCATTGCTTCCCTGGAGCACCCATTCCTTCACCAGAACACCCATTCCTGCCCTGGAACACCCATTCCTGCCCTGGAACACCCATTCCTTCCCTGGAGCATCCATTCCTTCCCTGGAGCTCCCAACCCTTCTTCCCTGGAGCACCCATTCCTTCCCTGGAGCATCTCTCCCTTCTTCCCAGGAGCACCTGCCCCTCCCTGCAGCACCCATTCCTGCCCTGGAGCACCCATTCCTTCACTGGAACACCCATTCCTTCCCTGCAGCACCTATCCCTTCTTCCCAGGAGCACCCTTCCCTTCCCTGGAGCACCCAACCCTTCACAAGAGCATTCAGCCCTTCCTCAGATTGTCCAGACCTTCTTTCCTGGAGCATCCTTCTTTTTCCTGAAGCACCCCTTCCTTCCCTGGAGCATCCATCGCTTCCCTCGAGCATCCATCCCTTCCCCAGAGCTCTCAGCTCTTCTTCCCAGGTGCACCTTTCCCTTCCCTGGAGCACCCATTCCTTCACAGAAGCATCCAGCCCTTCCTCAGATTGCCCAGCCTTCTTCCCTGGAGCACTTTTCTTATTCCTGGAGCACCCCTTCCTTCCCAGAAGCACCCACTCCTTCATGGGAGCATCCATCCCTTCCCAGAGTACCTATCCCTTCTTCCCAGGAGAACCCATCCCTTCCCTACTGCACTCATCCTTTCTTCCCCTAGCACCCCTCCCTTCCCCAGAGCACCCATCCCTTCTCCCCAGGAGCACCCATTCCCTCCCTGGAGCATCCATCCCTTCCCCACAACACCCATCCCTTCTCTCCAGGAGCTCCCACCCCTTCTGCTCACAGCCACAGCACCAAAGCTCTCAGATCCAGAGCAGATCCATGGGGTTTGGTGCTGCTGCTCTGGACACAGAGCATCCACGTGCCAGCACCAGCCCAGTGCTGAGGCTGGGATCTCTCCAGGAAAAGCCTGGCAGGGAAGGACACTTTAACTTCTCCTGCAGGGAGCTCCTGGCCTGGCAAAAGCACCCTGGGCTGCCATGGGAGATGTGCTCGGGGATGGAGGTGGGATGAGCACGGTGTAGTTTCACCAGAAAGCTCCCCATGCTTCCCTGGAGCGATGTTTCATGTTCTACACAGAAGATTTTGGGACTTTTGCATTGCTAGAGTTCCCCCCATTCCCCCATGAGAGGCTGCTGGCAGCTCCAGAAGGCATCAGCCCATCCAAAAGGAGAAATCAAGGCACAGAAAGGGATCCATGCTGGGAAAGGTGGCACTGTGGGGGAGCCACCAGTCCCTGTGACGGGGGTCAGGCTGGTCCCCTCCCTACTGGTCGCCTCCTCACTGCTTGTCCCTCTCCTGCCTTTCCAAGCCAGCCCCTCAAAGCGTGCCCCTGGCCACAGCTCTGTCACCTCCTCCCAAAACACCCGGCTCAGGAGGGCTCTGGAGAGCCACAGCCTCCTCCTGGAGCTGGCCTTGCTCCCACCTGTCACAGACATCTTTGTGTGAAAATCCTTTCTTAGGAATTTTTCTCTTCTAAGAAGCTGAGTCTTCAGAAACAAAATGTAAACAATGGTTATCTGCTGCTGTGGAATGCAACAGATAGATCTGTGATTGGTGTCGTGTGGATGTTTGAAATTAGTGACCACTCACGGCAGAGCTGACTCTCCCTGTCTGAGCTACAGACTTTTGTTTTCATTCTTTTCTTTTTCTTTCTATTCTTAGCTGAGCTAGCCTCCTGAGATGAAACTTTTCTTTTTATTCTATTAGTATAGTTATAATGTAATATATATATCATAAAATAATAAATGAAGCCTTCTGAAATATGGAGTCAAATCCTCATTTCTTCCCTCATCCTGACAACCCTGTGACCAGTGTCACACCCACCCTGCTCCCTCCAGCCCTGCCCCTCCCAGGGCACAGCCTGTCCCTGGGGCATCCCCCCAGGATGCCCATCCAGAGCTGAAGCACCAAAGGATGCTCTGAGAATGTGCCCTGCCACCCCCAAGCCCCTCTTACCTGCTTGGGATTTTGGATGAGCCCTGCTCCTGCTGTTTTATCCCAGCACAATGCTTTGTGTGGAATTTCCCACCCTCCAGACAGCCTTGCTCAAGCTTTTATCACATTGCAAACACCACAACCTCCTCCTCCTCCTCTTCCTCCGCCTCCTCCTCCTCTCTGGGCTGGACACAGCAAATACTGCTCTGCTCATCCCTTCCCAAAGGCTGCTGGAGAATCCTCTCTCTGGCAATTCCCTGCCCACCTCCCATTGCTGCTCTGCCTCCTGACAGCAAACCTGGGCAGCACCAAGGGTCTGCTGGCACCTCCCACCACACTGCCAGCCCCATTCCCAAAACTTGGACAAACTCTCTGTGGGGAAAGTGCTGCACAAGCCTCCCCAAACTGCTCTGAAACATAAAAGAGAACTCAGGAAGCCCTTTCCCCCTGTGGTTACAGAATCCTAGCAGTGGGAATGGGGAGGATGCTGAGCCCATGGGGCTCTCAGTACCCTCCAGCTCCTGCTGGGAATTACTGTTATTCTTTAAAGCCCACATCAAACAGCACCCAACCTCCTTCTGCTCAGGGCTGGGACAGCACAGCGACAGCACTGCTCCATTCACAACTCCCTAAGCTCTGCCTTCATCCATTATTCCAGCCCGGTGAAGCTTTGGGACTGCTTTATTTTAATTTTCTTTAAATATTTTATTCAGTTTTGCTCTCTCTCACAGCTCCCTGGGGTAAACCAGGCTCCCCAGGAAGGGCTGTCTCACTGCCATGGAGGTAAAACCACATTCCAAACACGAGCTGTCTCCAAAAAGCACCAAAGCACCGTGAGGCTGCACAAGGCAGGAGCAGGGGCGGTGCCAGCACCATTCCCTGACCTCTGAAACCCGGCTGGGAGAGCAGAGCCAGCACGAGACCCCGAGGGGTTAAATCCCACAGAGACCCTGAGGGGGTTAAATCCCACAGAGACTCGAGGGGGTTAAATCTCACAGAGACCCTGAGGGGGTTAAATCCCACAGAGACCCCAAGGGGGTTAAATCCTACAGAGACTCGAGGGGGTTAAATCCCACAGAGACCCAGAGGGACTAAATCCAACAGACCCCGAGGGGGTTAAATCCCACAGAGACCTTGAGGGGGTTAAATCCAACAGAGACCCTGAGGGGTTAATCCCACAGAGACCCCGAGGGGTTAAATCCTATAGAGACTCGAGGGGGTCAAATCTCACAGAGACCTGAGGGGTTAAATCCCATAGAGACCCCAAGGGGTTAATCCCACAGAGACCCTGAGGGGTCAAATCCCGAAGAGACCCCAAGAGGGTCAAATCCCACAGAGACCCCGAGGGGTTAAATCCCACAGAGACCCTGAGGGAGTGAAATCCCACAGCCATGTGGGACTCCAGCAGCTTCATGGAAGCAAAGAGGATGTGAGGGATGTGGGATGTGGGCCTCAAGCTGCAGCGGGCAGTGGGCTCTGGAGTGCTGTGCCAGGCAGGATTCCACCCAGGGAGCAGGAGAAAGCCCCTCAGCACTGCCAACACCCCCATGTCCCAGCTTTCCAGCAATGCTCCATGGGGCAGGCTGGAAGGACGCAGCATACCTGTGTCTCAGTGGGGTCCACACCCGTGCCCTCTTCCCAGCTGCATCTTCCCAACTTCCCATGCCCTCACCGCGGTAACACGAGCCAAAGCACAGGGAGCAAACAGGGAGGGAGGGCAGGAGGATGGAGGAGGAGGAGGAGGAGGGGCAGAGCAGCACTCACTCACGTTGATCATAGCATTGGAGGTGATGCGGAAGAGCGTGGCGCGCTCGTTCACCGCCTTGATCTTCTCGCCGCTGTCGGCCGGCAGGCGCAGGTTCTCCAGCTCGCTGAGCGAGCGCTGCAGGGCCGCGCCGTGCTTGGCGATCAGCTCGTTGCAGGTGCTCAGGTCCTCCAGCTTACTCGACAGCGTCTTCAGGGGGCCGTGCAGCTCGCTCTTGTCTGACTGCGAGGCGGGCTCCTCGTCACCCGAGTCATCTGCACGGGGAGGGATGGGGAGAAAGAACAGCGTTTCCATGGCTACCCCCGGCCGCTGAGCCCGGCAGCGCCGCGGGCACGGACCGGGGACAGGGACAGGGACAGGGAGCAGGGAC